GGATTTTGCAGATCTCCAAGTTGGGTCTAGAAGGCAAGACAAGAACCATTGGATGGAAACTAATCAAGGAGAGAAGCAACCCATATTTTTTAAGGGTGAGAACAACCGACCAGTTGAATGCCTTGCCTTCAGAAGTTGTGGCTGCCCCATTACTGGAGATTTTCAAGAAGAGACTGGACGGCCAAATAATAATAATAATAATAATAATAATAATAATAATAATAATAATAATAATAATGATGATGATGATGTTGGAAGGGACCTTGGAGGACATTGAGTCCAACCCCCTGCTGAAATGTTTGTTCAGGGAGTTGGACTAGATGACCTCCAAGGTCCCTTCCATCTCTGCTATTCTACTTAATATATGTCACCTGACAACCAGTTCCAGGATCCTTGAATTCTGCTTTGAAATGCAAAGAGTTCTTTGTTTAAACAAAGATGCATGGTAACCCAGCTGGACTTGAACCACTCATTAGGATCTCATTACTAGAAAATAGATTAATAGATTTTTTTTTTGAAAAAATGGGTTTTATTATAGGGTTGATTTTTAAAATTTTGTAAGCCGCCTGGAGTCATCTATTTGTGACTTGGGTGGCTATATCAATTTGTCTGATAAAGAATTAAATAACAGCTCATTAATAGAAAGCTCTTTTTTTCATAAAAAAAGAGAACACCTTCGCCTAGGGCCAAAAATTCCACAAAGAGCCTCAAGCACGCCACGAGTCACATGGTTTTGCACTCTCTGGCTGGTTAGTCATAAACCTGCCATTGGTCCAGGTCTAAGTAACCCTAAGAATTATAGCCAGACAGATAAACTAAAAATAGGCTATCATATCATCTCTCTCTTAGCCACAAACCTAATTTAGACGTTGCACTAAGTCCAACAGCTAGATGGTTTAGCATATCATCTGAGCAAGACCAGTTTTTCAAAAAAGAGGGATCTCGTGGTCTCTGAGCTTGGCTGTTTTGTTGCAGACATCTCATTACCCAACTAGGTAACATCATCAATGCTAGAAGGGAGAAGGGGTGTGCAAAGTGAAAGAGGAGGACTATGGGGTCCTTGATGCTCTCTGAACTTGGCTGTTTTGTTGCAGACGTCTCATGACCCAACTAGGTAACATCATCAATGCTAGAAGGGAGAAGGGGTGTGCAAAGTGAAAGAGGAGGACTATGGGGTCCTTGATGCTCTCTGAACTTGGCTGTTTTGTTGCAGACGTCTCATGACCCAACTAGGTAACATCCTCAGTGCTAGAAGGGAGAGGGGTGTGCAGAGTGGAGGAGGAGGAGGACTGTGGGGGTCCTGGATGCTCTCTGAGCCTGGCTGTTTTCTTGCAGACGTCTCATCGCCCAACTAGGTAACATCATCAGTGCTAGAAGGAAATGGGATTTGATCTCTGTTTAAATACAAGTGGCTTGCTCCACTCGCTTCTAGCACTGCTGATGTTACCTAATTTGGGTAATGAAACATCTGCAAGAAAATAACAAAGCCTTGAGGGCACCAAGGACCCTTCATTTCGAGCCTGAGCCACAAATATTCTCCTTAAAAGAAGGATGTCCTAGTTAATTTTGTTTTCCGAAGCAGACGAAAGCTCTTCCCAAAGCTTATTTTCTAAGTGCCGGGAAGACAAAATCCACCCAGTTTATTTTTGTTTTTGACATTCTAGCCTGCTAGAGATTGTGGTTTGATATGTTGTTTGTTTGTTCTTAAAAAGCTGCAGCTCCATTTCTTTTCTCTCCATCAGCCTCTCCTTGTCAACATGGCTTTTATATATTAGATTTTTTTTTTTTTTCAAATTTCTTCAACCTGCAGGCAACGAAGGATTCATTTTTTTTTTTTTTGCGTTTCTTTCTGGGTCTGGTGACTGCCTGAAGATGAGATATTGCTTTGTTGTCAGTAAATAAATGATTTCTGACCATTTAGATAAGCTGGATAAGAAAAACAGAAATACGATTTTGTAAGAAATCAGCGGCCGGTCAATAAAAAGTATAACATGTACGTGATAAAAGACACGAGTGGCATTTTTCTACCTTAAAACACCACATTGCTACCTGGTTCACAAGGCTAAGAACTTAAAAATAGATATAGCAGGACATTAGATTCTTATTCAATGTAAATCTTTAAAAACCCATGAACGAGCAGGGTTGATTTCATCCCAAATATGGATTACAGCTTAGGATCAGGGGAGAATTTGGGAGAGGGTTGGCTTTAGACCTCGAAATGAAAGATTCAGAGTTGAGATAACAACCAAGAGACAATCTGTAACAAGACTGTCTAAATTACCAGATTCTACAATATTATTCTCCTTATCAAGCTGGCAACTTGATAGCCACCGAAGAAATCAACCCTGGATGTTAGGAATTCCCCCACCCAAAAAAAGACCAATTACCAAAGTTGTTGGAAGACATAATTACAGATTTTTTAAAAACACCTTCTTATCGTCTACTAAGACTACAAGTAATCTTTGACTTAGAACAATTTGTTTAGTTACAACGGCACTGAAAAAAAAGGACAGTTTGTCACGCTTGTGACCCGTTTGGTCAAGAGATCAAAATTCGGACTCTTCAGACTCATATTTATGACGGTCGCAGTGACCCCTTTCTGTGACCTACTGACAAGCAAAGTCAGTGAGGAAATCCAGATGCGTTTAACAACCAGGTTACACGCTTCACATCTGCAGCGATTCCCTTACCAAGAGTTGCAAGGAAGGTGGTTTAATTGGGGCAAAAACCTCCCTTAACCAATGTCTCACTTAAGAACCGGAAATGTTGGGCTGTAGCCATAGGATGGGGGGGAGGGGGTCAAAATGGCCGCAGTGGGATGTCCCGCCCGTGTCATTGTTGGCTGGACAAGGGAAAGCTGGTTAGCGAGAGGGAAGGAGTCAAAAAGGCGAGTCTTGAGGCTGCTGTGGGTGAATCGGAAGGCAAGGAAATAAATAATAAAGCAGACATCAGGAAATAAGTCATGCTAAACAGATGCCAGAAGGCATCGCTCTGACTTTGAGGTTCCAGCCTTAAATAAACACAGTTCAGAAAACCTCTTTGAAGTTGGGAGGCAGTAAATAAGCACGGGAGGTCTTGGTGGCCGACAGTTTATCATCCTAGATTTTAAAAAATAAAAATAAAAAATGAAAAAGTTCAAAGAAGGAGGGGTTGTCACTTACTGACCCAATTTGCGACTTCCCTTTTAGTCCTCCTCACTTTGAGCTTCTCCCCCCCCCCAGCCCCCCACCCGCTCAAATTCAGAAAAAGGAAAGCCACCTGGAAACCATCAGACTGCAAAAGAGTTCTTTCTGCATTGGGAACTTTATTTCTACAGGATCCTATTCTGCTTTAAGGTTTCTGTTGACTTTTAAAATAGGAACGTGCACCAGATGTTCCTTTTTTTCCCCCCATCTTAAAAAAAAAAAAAAAAAGACTACCTAACGAGAGTTTACAGTGAAAATGATTTCAGATTGTGTGAATTCTGTGGGTTGCAGAGGAGTGGGGAGATGTAGGAAGTTCAAACAAGCAAAATGGAGGCTATAAATGGTGTGATGCAGGTTAAAATCTCCCCCTCCCCCCCCTCTCGTAATAACCAACCATAGTAGCTTACATTTGGAGAAGATGAGTCTTATGTCTCTTTCAGAATAAACAGATAACTGGGGTGGGTGTCCCAGATGGGGCTTCACAGACCAGACATATCCCCAACGATCTTCACAGATTGCACCAAAATATAATTTTTAGTGTAGCAGAAGGGAGATAGGATTAAATGTATGACTAATGAATTACTAGTGAGTCAGCGTGATGGAATGATGAAGGTGTTGGACTACAGCTGAGGACATCCAGATTCTGGTCCAACATCAGAGATGGAAGCTGACTTAGAGATAGTCTCTTTCTCTCTCCATCTATATGTTTGTCTCCATCCACCCATCCATTTCCTTCCATAATCTACCTCTATCCATCTATCCATCTCTCTCTGTCCCTCCATCTATTTGTCTCAATCCATCCATCCATCTCCCTCCATAATCTACCTCTATCCATCTCTGTCTGTCTGCTTTCTGTCTGTCTCCATCCATCCATCCATCCATCCATCCATTCATCCACACTCTACCTCTATCCATTTCTCTCTCTCTCTCTCTCTCTCTCTCTCTCTCTCTCTCATCTGTCTCCATCCATCCACTCATCTCCATCCATAATCTACCTCTATCCATCTCTTTTTCCATCCATCCATCCATCCATCCATCCATCCATCCATCCATCCATCCATCTCAATCCATACTCTTACCTCTATCCATCTATGTCTCTCCATCTATCTGTCAATCCATCCATCCCCCTCCATAATCTACCTCTATCCATCTCTATCTCTACATCCATCCATCTCTATCCGTACTCTACCTCTATCCCTCTTTCCATCCACCCATCCATCCATCCATCTCCATCCATACTCTTACGTCTATCCATCTCTCTCTGTCTCTCGATCTATCTGTCTTAATCCATCCATCCATCTCCCTCCATAATCTACCTCTATCCATCTCTCTCTCCTTCCTTCCATCCATCCATCCATCTCCATCCATCCATCCATCCATCCATCCATCCATCCATCCGTCTCCATCCATAATCTACCTCTATCCATCCCTCTCTCACACCCCATTAGTCAATCCCTCTACGTTAGTCAGGATCATTTACCAGGGAGCAGAAGGGGAAGAAAAAGCTAGTTTGTCAAAACATGCTATTTTGAAAAACTTGGAGGAGTTTGTGGATCTTACTCTTCCTCATCTTTGTGACTTGAAGCAGGGTAGGGTGTGTTTCCTTTTATGTATAAATAGGCAATGCATGAACCGGGAGAAACACGACATTTGACAAACAAAACAGTTTAAATTCCCTGAGTCTTGACATGATGTTTAGGTAGTTAGATGATATGCCGTTTCCATTTTTTCATCATATCATGATTATTTATTGACTTAAATATAGAGAGAAATTTATCTATCTATCTGTTTATAGATCTCTCTCGCTGCAGCTTCCTCTTCAGCCCCGCCCACCCTTCACCCAGCTGGTCCTCAGTTCTTGTGGCTGATTTTCTGCTTGTTCGAAATATAAGGGAGAATCGTCTGAGTACTTTTGTCCGACACGGTCTGGGTGCTGCTGTTCCGTGTCAGCTTCCGGGCTTGGCCACTATCAAGATGAGGGGACCGTTGCGATGCCGTCTTGGCCACTAACACCCCCTTCTGAGTTGTCTCATGGGGCTCTTCCGGAGGATCGTCTGGAAGGGGCCCGCTGTCCACCTCCTCATCGTCATCACAGCACAAAGCATGGTAGAGGACTTTGTCACTAAAACGCACCCTCTCCCTGGTGCCCGGCGTCCTCTGATGTTGAGGTTTGTGACTTGGTACGGAGCTGAACGCTTCCTCGCTGGAAGAGTCTGGGGTTTCAATCCGGGGTCCATTGGAGATCAACACCCCACCATTCATGAGTTGGTAATCAGGCTGGTGTCCTGGTGGCTGCTGTGACTGTGGTTGCTGCTGCTGCTGCTGCTCCGAACCATCGCCCAAATCGGAAGGGGTGGAGGCCTCAAGGAAGGAGCAAAATTCCCAGCTGTCGGAGAGGATGTCTGAGGTCATGAAATCCAGGTGCCCAAGGTCAAATAGGCCTCCCCCTTTCTCACTGCTGGAGGTACTGCTCACCGTGGTGGTGGTCCAATCGTCGGGCTCCAGCTCAAACTCAAAGTCTGAGGTCAACTTGTCAATCTGACTGACCACCTAATGGGCAGAGAGAAAGAGGAGGTGGTTAAGACCCACAGAATATCATTGGGCATCTCCATAAACCAGTGGTTCTCAACCTTTTTAATTCCGCGACCTCCAACCGGTCGTAAGTCGAGGACTACTCAACCGGTCGTAAGTCGAGGACTACTCAGCTGGTGCAGCACCGTTTGCAGAATGGGACTTTTGGCGGGCTCAGCAGGGCAGAGACAGCCTGGACAATTCCTATTGGCTTTTGAAAGCCAATAGAATTAGACTCTATTCAAGAGAGTCTCTTCTATTGGCTTTCAAAAGCCAATAGAATAAAAGGGAGTAGCACAGCTAAGAAAAAGGGGGAAAAAAATGGCGGACTGCGTTGTTTGGCGACCCCCGTGAAATGGTCGTTCGACCCACAGGTTGAGAACCACTGCCGTAAACAATGTTTTCTCCTGCTTTAAGTCTATTTCAACATGGCCTCCCTACAGGGCCACTCCATGGAGAGGCTCCTCGACAACCTTCTGCAAGGCTGAGACTTCAAATCAATTTAATTTCAGGTATTTCAATGTAGGGGCCACATGATTCCAAACAAGCGCCAGAAGCTTTGGACCAAAATTCTTCTTCTTGTTGCCAGCCAACAGGCTAATAGCCCTTTTGGACAGATATCACGGGACCTGTAGTTCAATTTGTTCAAAGGGAAGGGTCATCAGGTTGGAGAAAGCTCATTTCATTAAAAAAAAAAAAACAAGCTTAAAAATCAGATGAAGTCTGAAAGGTAAGCACTAATAAAGCCTTAAGAAAAAGCATCCTACTCTTTATTTCCTCCATTTAAAGCAGTGGTCCTCAACCTGTGGGTCAGGACCCCATTTGGGGTCAAACAACCATTTCACGGGGGTCGCCAAACAATGCAGTCCACCATTTTCCCCCCCCTTTTCCTTAGATGTGCTACTCCCTTTTATTCTATTGGCTTTTGAAAGCCAATAGAATAGACTCTCTTGAATAGAGTCTAATTCTATTGGCTTTCAAAAGCCAATAGGAATTGTCCAGGCTGTCTCTGCCCTGCTGAGCCCACCAAAAGTCCCCTTCTGCAAACGGTGCTGCACCAATTGAGTAGTCCTCGACTTACGACTGGTTGAGTAGTCCTCGACTTACGATCGCTTGGGGGTTGCGGCATTAAAAAGGTTGAGAACCACTGGTTTAAACTATTAATTTGGTGTAAGGTTCACCTTGTGCATAAAGATCAATCTGGGTTCATAACTGGAAGGTACATGAAAAATAATGTCAGACAACTTATTAATTTATTAGAATATTTAGATAAAAACAACCAAGTTCCTGCAGGGCTGATATTTTTAGATGCTGAAAAAGCTTTTGATCAATTGAATTGGCATTTTATGTTAAGAGTAATGGAAGAGATGAATTTTGGTGAAAAGATATTGCAAGCTCTTATGGTAATATATCAAAAACAAACGGCACAACTTATCGTTAATGGAGGTTTGTCAGAGGTTTTTACAATAGAGAAAGGTACTAGACAGGGCTGCCCATTATCACCGCTGCTGTTTGTCTTAACACTGGAAATACTGTTGATCAAAATTCGAGAGTCGCAGGAAATTAAAGGAATAGAAGTTAATAAAAAAGAGTATAAGTTAAGAGCTTTTGCGGATGACTTGGTCATCACTTTGTCGCAAACTACTTATTCTGTAGTAAAATTATTACAGCTGATTCATAATTATGGTTTGGTTTCGGGTTTTAAGATTAATGTTAATAAGACAAAAATTTTACCTAAAAATATGACAAGTCGGGAGAAGCAGACTTTGGTTAACTTGACGGGTTTTGAAATTGTTAATAAGGTAAAATATTTGGGGGTGATGCTATCTGTTTCTAATGCAAAATTATTTAAAAATAATTATGAAAGGTTGTGGGTTAGGGTACAGAGAGACTTGAAGAAATGGGAAAAGTTGCAATTATCCCTCATGGGAAGAATTGCAGTGATAAAAATGAATATTCTACCCAAGTTTCTCTTTTTGTTCCAAATGATACCGATTTTGACGAATGAGATCAATTTAACTGAGTGGCAGAAAGGCCTTAATAAATTTATTTGGGCAGGGAAAAAGCCAAGGGTTAAATTTAAAATTATGCAAGATTTCCGTGAGAGGGGAGGACTCAAGGTGCCGAATTTGAAATTATATTATGATGCGGTGGTTTTAACATTAGTTACTGACTGGGTAAATTTGACAAATTCTGATATACTTCACTTAGAGGGATGGAATTTACTTTTTGGCTGGCATGCCTATTTAATATTTAATAAAAAAATGGATTGGGCTTTTAAATCTCATATCTTAAGAATTTCTTTACTTAGGGTTTGGAGAAAATATTACAAAAGTGATTTTAAAGTACCATTATGGGCCGTATCTTGGCATGCAATAGAAGGAATAAAAAGAGGGGTTAAAATGGATATGGTGTCCTATAGACAGTTACTTAAATGGGATGGACAAAACTGGCAGTTAAAATTACGGGAAGAGTTAGCACAAGAAAATATTATTTATTCTTGGTTCCAATATAGGCAATTATTAGTAGATGGAAGATGGACTGTAAGGTGGGCTTTTACAGAGAAGATGAAAATCTTATTAAGCAAGTGAAGGATCAAAGACAAACCCACATTAAGAGGATCTATGGGGTTTTAGTTGAATTGGATTCAGAAACGGAACTAATTAAAGATTGTATGATTAGATGGGCGCAGAATTTTGGTGAGCCAGTTCCATTGGACACCTGGGAAATTATTTGGGTGAGAAATGTCAAATTTACACAAGCACAGAACTTAAGGGAGAATTTTTATAAAATGTTTTATAGATGGCACTTGATCCACAAAAAATGTCTTTTATGTACCCTGACTTACAACCTAAATGTTGGAGATGTGGTTGTATGGATGCTACTTATTATCATATTTGGTGGTCGTGCAGAGAGATAAAAGCATTCTGGATTAAGATATGGTGGAATATCCAGAGAATTTTTAAAAGGAGGGTAAAATTTACTCCACAATTATTTCTGTTAGGTATAGTTACTGATTGTGACACAAAGGAGGTTATATTGATGTTAAACTTGATAACAGCTGCGAGGCTGTTAGTAGGACAATATTGGAAGAAGGAATCTTTGCATACATTGCAGGAATGGTTTCTTAAAGTGTCTCATTTGGCGGAAATGGCAAAGATTTCGGCTTTCTTAAAGGGACAAACGCAAGAGAAATTTCTTGATGTTTGGGATAAATGGATAAAATTCATACAATTTAAATTTGATATAAAAAATATTATATAGTTTTTTCATAATTTTTAACTTTATATATATATATATATATTCTATTTTATATTCTTTTTTATAATTTTTTTTAACTTTTTCTTTAATTAAGCCTATATTCTGCTCTGGGAGGTCCTGGGGGGGGGAAGGGGGGGGTTGGGTAGGGGTGGGGGAAGGGGGGTTTTGTTGGGTAATGTTTGTTTTTTATTTGTATATGTTGTTTTTTGTTTTTGTATTGTTTTTTATTTTTTGTAAAATTTATAAAACTCTTTAATAAAAAAAAAAAATTGGTGTAAGGTTAAGGTGCTGCTCTAGAAACCAGGAGATGGAGAGTTCTAGTCCTGCCTTAGGCATAAACATTGGCTGGATGACTTTGGGCTAATCACAAGGAGATGGAGAGTTCTAGTCCCGCCTTAGGCATGAAAGGCAGCTGGATGACTTTGGGCCAATCACCAGGAGATGCAGAGTTCTAGTCCTGCTTTAGGCAGGAAATCTGGTTGGGTGACTTTGGGCCAATCACCAGGAGACAGTGAGTTCTAGTCCCGCCTTAGGCAGGAAATCTGGTTGGGTGACTTTGGGCCAATCACCAGGAGAGGGTGAGTTCTAGTCCCGCCTTAGGCAGGAAATCTGGTTGGGTGACTTTGGGCCAATCACCAGGAGATGGTGAGTTCTAGTCCCGCCTTAGGCAGGAAATCTGGTTGGGTGACTTTGGGCCAATCACCAGGAGATGGTGAGTTCTAGTCCCGCCTTAGGCAGGAAATCTGGTTGGGTGACTTTGGGCCAATCACCAGGAGAGGGTGAGTTCTAGTCCCGCCTTAGGCAGGAAATCTGGTTGGGTGACTTTGGGCCAATCACCAGGAGATGGTGAGTTCTAGTCCCGCCTTAGGCAGGAAATCTGGTTGGGTGACTTTGGGCCAATCACCAAGAGATGGTGAGTTCTAGTCCCGCCTTAGGCAGGAAATCTGGTTGGGTGACTTTGGGCCAATCACCAGGAGATGGTGAGTTCTAGTCCCTCCTTAGGCAGGAAATCTGGTTGGGTGACTTTGGGCCAATCACCAAGAGATGGTGAGTTCTAGTCCCGCCTTAGGCAGGAAATCTGGTTGGGTGACTTTGGGCCAATCACCAGGAGATAGAGCTAGTCCTACTTTAGACATGAATGCCAGCTGGGTAACTTTAAGCCTGTCCTTCTCCTTCAGCCCAGCCCACCTCACAGAGATGCTATTGTGTGGAAAGTAGGACGAGGAAGGAGTATTAAGTATGTTCACCGCCTTGAGTTCCTTGTCAAGTGATAAAGGCAATATAAAAATGAAATAAATAAATAAAAAGTTTCCCTCAAATTATATCTGGATTGCAACACCCAGTTTTTAACCAGACAGCATATGGCCCTGTAGTCCCATCGCATCGGTTGACATCTAGAGCCCATCGCGAAAAGCATGACCTTCCCAGCCTTGATTCACGGTGGTTATTCCATCACTTTCCCTTTTCCCCACCCCCTCCAATCCTGGGACAGGACGAGACCCCCCCCCCTTGTGAGGGATAACTCCAAGCCACGCCAGCCTTGTGGCTTTCTAACCAGCCTTCTTCTGTCTCCAGCATACGGCAACCACGGGAGACGTAAGGTCATGCAGAGCTGATGGCTTTTTAGAGCAGGAGTTAAGCTTTTGACAATCGCTTTGAGCCTGCCCAGACCAAATTCATTTTGACTGTGAAGAATTACTTTTTGGGAAAATCTTGTA